GACGTAAATATTTCCGCAATTGTTTGAAAATTACTTAAATCTTTTACATATTAAAAAAAATGTAAGTATTTGAACGGTACTATTTTTGCTGAAAAGTTGGAATGGAGAAAAGGAGTTCGATATACAAATTCAGAGCAGAATACGTATTCAGAAATACAAATTTTTCTGAAAGTTTTATATTTGTAAGATTTTGTTCGTACAGATTTCGTAAATATTAAATACATATTTTATCAATTTTTCGGCAGTAACTGCATATCCGCCCTGTGGTATTTATATTTTATCTGTGACAGAAATCGAAATAAATAAAAAATGTTACTTCCAATCCAACTTTAATAATCGATATCCTTTTTTTGGAGCCCCTCTTATTTGTAAATAACTCAATTCTGCTGCATTATTGGGTAACGAATGTCTGTCAGTCCAGGGTGTAACAATGGCCCTTCTGCTCTTACATAACGTAAAAATCTATGTATAGAATTGTCCGTGGGATGGTGAATAATGGACGGAGAGGGAATATTCAATTAGCAGGCTGACATTCTAACCAAACAGCGGGTTGCGCAACTCTTTGTAGTTTCTTCCAACCACCCTTTCTTTGGTTGTCTTGATTGTGAAAAGTGCTTAATTTTTAACCATGTCCGACCACAAGGTATTTACAGTTTTTTTGTTGAAGCATCAATATGATTGAAACATGGGAGAGAAAGCAAAATTGAGTTAAAAGTCTGGCCAGCTTTCTCCACACTGTTAAAAATCTGGTAGAGTCAGTCTGAGAAAAATGCTGCTGAATCATCACACTCAAAATAAGGTAGTAATGAATCATTACCATGCGGAATGACTATGTGTCTCTACCACATCGGTTTCGATTTGTTGTAGAAATGGTAATAATAATCTCTGGGAAATTCAAATTCATTACCAAATATTAAGGAAGTTAATACCATTATGTATTAAATTTGAATTTCCCTGAACTTATTATTACCATTTCTACGACAAATCGTAACCGACGTGGTAGAGACACATAGTCATTCCGCATGGTAATGATTCATTACTACCTTATTTTGAGTGCACTTACCGGATTGCATATGTATTAATGACTTCACCGGTACCGTGATAACGGGTATTACTGAATAGTAATGACGTATACTGTGAAATCTCACTACTGATAAACAAACTATTACCAATTGGGGAGGAATTGATTCCCAAATCTTTACCAGCATGGTGATCTAGATTTGGGAATTTGGAATCCGACCATACTTTTGACTTAGTAATAAGTTCCTCCGGATTGATAATAGTATGTGTCGGACTGGGAAATTTTTGAGTATGTCGACATGGTTGGTGGGTAATGCCCGTTGTTACGAGGACCGGTAGAGACATACCTGTTCTCCGGCTGGTAATGATTTAACACCAGTTTTCTAAGAGTGTATGACTGAAATTATGAGAGAGAAAGCAGACCTGGAAGTCTGGCTAGTTTTCTGGTATCGAGAATGAAAGCGACTTTCTCCACTCGAGCAACTTTCTCTTTCGAGTCTGGCGAATAAATTCAATAATGACGGGCTTTGACTAAAGGAAATGAGACCGCCTTTCCCATGTCGAAAATTTTGGGTTTTCACCACTTCATTTGTCTATCTCCCAGTCGGCAGGCAAGAATAATAACAACGATATGCCCGGCCACCCACCCACCCACCTTTTCCACTAATGACGACGGAGAAGGGTAAAATAATTAGGGATGCCCCGGGTAGTGGTAATACCCGGTACCAGGTGCCCGGCACGAAATGCGGACCCGCCCGCCAATTTTTTCAAATTTTTTCCGAAGTTTGCAAAAATTTTATAAGCTTAAAAAATTGATAGTGACAAAAGTAATTTTAAAATTTGTAGGATAATTTCCACATGCGATTTGGTGAAATTTGTGGCCGGATATTTTCTACAGAAATGAAATCCATGAGATTGGAAAAGTTTGTGTAAAGTTTTGAATTTAAAGTAAGAAAATTGGACATGCAAATTAATTGTGAGGATAAATCGGGTACTTAAGACCCTCTTGGATGACGCGTTGGCACGTAATCTCACTTTACCCTTATCCAATGTATTTAAATGCAAAAGTCTAAAATCGAATCAACTTAATGAGTTTTGAGACAAATTCAACGTTTGATACTTTAATGTAAAGCTAATTTTTGGTACTACAAACAAGTCGTTTTGAAAAAAATTATTAAATTCGTGTTTGCAGAAATTTATTGTGAAAAGATGGCAAATAAATTTATTAATTTTTTTCAAAACGACTTGTTTGTAGTACCAAAAATTAGCTTTACATTAAAGTATCAAACGTTGAATTTGTCTCAAAACTCATTAAGTTGATTCGATTTTAAACTTTTGCATTTAAAGACATTGAATAAGGGCAAGGTGAGAAAAAAACTCAATGACGGTGTAACAAGAACCTTAAGAATGCCGGGCTGTGTCAGGGGTGTCCCAAAAAGGTTGAGTATGCCGGATACCTGGGACACCTCTAAAAATAATCTGCTGTACGGGAAGAAAAGCAGCATTCAAACTGAAGGAGGCAGGAATATCGAGTTTCAACTAAATTGGAGGAATGTGGTTTGGTCGGTGAATGAATGAATGAGAGTGAAGTGAAGAGTCATCGAAATTTATTCGGATTTTATGCTAGGATTGCAATATTCGGTGAAAGGAAAGGTTGTGTACTTAGGATTTGTCATAGGCGGGAGGGTGCGGGGATTATACGTCGGGTATCTCCGCTAATACCTTGTGAATGCGGTTTTTGATGCAATATTACTTCTTCAGGATTATCAACAGTGAAGCGTGACGTGGTTAAGAGTGCTTTAAGATTCTACATTTTAAAATCATAAACGTGGAATTGAACAAATATTTATTACCGAGTCTGAGTAAAATTGTCTAAATTTGAAATAAAATATTAAGGGTATTCAATTAAAGTTGGTAACGTTAGCAAAAAATAAGTAAAATATAAACAATTTTCACTTTGCGAAGTGGAACTGATTTATTTACTTTGCAAAATTCACATTTTCGCATCGCAACATAACTTTTTCGAAATTGCGAATTTTGCGAAGTAACGAAGTGAAGATAAGCACACGGACACTCCGCAAGTGACTTTTGTTCGCAGAATTTGGAATTTAACAAATTTCATAAGACAAAAATTCGGTAACAAATAGAGATTGATGGACTTTTCACATTGCTAAATTTTTCATGTTTCCATGTTTATGAAAAATATTTTGCGAACTTGGAGATGCGCAAGTTCGTAAGCCAATTTTCAAGCCAAGTTTTTGTTGCGAACTTTGTTTCCTTGCTAACGAAATGAATACCGTCATTTTGGATAGCTACGATTTGGAAATATTAGCTCGGAAATAATGCAAAGCATATTTTTCCCTCGTTCGCATGGCTTTGAACTTGAGAGATCAAACTTGTTCGATGCACCCCATTAAGCTGGCTGCCAATCAAATCAATCTCACGGTTGTGTCGGGTGCAGTTTTAGTTCCGGTGTGATGAACACCCGGTTAGTAAATGGAAGAGGATGACGACGCCCGTAATTTGGAGGAGTGAGAGGACAAAGGTGAAAGTTCGGGAATTTAAAATCAAAGAGAGAGAAAAAAAACATTTTGGAGAAATAGGATTTGTTGAAAAAGTGAATTTTTGTCATTTTGAGAAAAGATAGCACACTCAAAACAAAACGGTGTCAATATATGACTTAACCGCCTTGGTTACAATTGTGATTCCGAGTAGTAATGATTTTTTTCCGTCCGGTCATAACATTGTAACTACCGGTATCAAAATCATCATAATTCGGATTCAACATTGTAACCAAGGCGGTTACGTCATATATTGACACCGGCGGTGTTGATTAAACAAATTTTTATTTTGAGTGCAGTAAAGAAAGGGAAGATAACTCGTATGAAAATTTCAACAGCTTTCCTGCCGAAAAGTGGCCTGATTTTCGGCAGAAATTTGGCCAATTTTTGCGGAAAATTGTGTACAGAGTGATATATTCATAAATCATGCAAAATTATTGGCTTTGCAGAATCTACCCGAAAGAAATTGTATGCAGAATGATGCAAGTTTTTTTCTACAGAAGCTCACCTGTGCAGAATTCTACAAACAACTTTCGTACGAGAAATCTTAACGGAACGTGTTAATTCCCGAGATTATACGTTACCCTGGGAAGAAGATTGAGATTGGGGAAAAGTGCGTATGGAATTTCACCCAACGCTTAGTCACGGAGTTAACTTTCTTTCAGCTAAAAAGACCAAACTGACTGTGGTGCTTTCCCTCATTCCCCGCTATTATCCATCCACAAAGAAAGAAGTGCACACATTATCGATCACATCATTACGACGAAAAAGGAAAAGATGTCTATACATCGTTTGCCTTCTTCTCTCTCGTTGCGTGGCAGGGTGAAAATCCTTCTTTTTTAACAAGATTTACGGCTTCAATCTCGCTTAAGGAGGAGAAAGCGAAGGCGAAAGAAGAGTGCATAAATCGAGTCGGATTTAAAGTTGCATTCTCTTCAAAGAAAGTTTGTCTGGAGAAGAGATTATTTAAAAGGTGGAGAACTTTATTAAGGGGTGAAGGCCCTTTATAAGATCGTTATGTCTGTCTGTTGCTCTGGTGGTCGGATAACGAAAAGAAATATAAGCTTGAAACTATTAACATAAAATTCTGACTGAAAAGGGTCAGAATGAGTTCGAAGAAGGGCACTGTGAGTAACGCATGTCAAAAATGTCACGTGTCAAATTGCACATATTTATAAGTTTCATAGGAAATTTAACCCCAAATTCAATTTTAACCTCCATTTTGACCTCAAAGGTCTCGAAAGATCACCAGTGTAAAAAAACACATCCGGTGTGTCAATTTTAGAAGATTTTCGACATAAAAAACAATATAATATTTATTTTGAAGTATGTATGATCAAATGCTTTCACTCCTTGGTTACATTCGTTGTAACGATTTATGCCTAAAAACGACACAAGATTCAAGTAGTTCTCGCTTACCTGCCGAATATCTGGCGGATGGCGGCATTCCAGCGGTTTGCGGGCTGCGGAAATCCGTGACCGACGTGGATCCCGGTCTTTGTCTTGGCATAGAGCCATACCATTGAGGTTCGGGTCCACCGCGGCCTAAACTGAGGCGATGGTCGCTCCCCGTGCGCGGCATTCTCCTCCCATTCTGCTGCCGCTGGGGTCGCGGTCCGGTGTAAAACGTGTGCACTTTCTCCGCGAGAGACTCGAGAGTTTTAGGATATGCTCGATCGAAGGGTTGGAAGTGTTGGGGGCCGATGGAGGAGCGAGGCTGCTCGGTTATCGGTGGGGGTGGTTGATATGATAAGGAGGCCGTGGAGGGGGCTTCTCGGTGGTGCTGCTCCTGCTCAGGCCGGTACCACTCGTACGGTTGGTAGTTGGACTGCTGGGAAGGGGGCCGAGGGGGCTGGGGGTCGGGGCGGTACGGGTCAAAATCTTGGGTGGAGTAGGAGGGCTGGGGTTGTTGTTGGATGTGGTTGCGACGAATGGGAGGTTGTGGTGGGTCCAGTCTGGAGGGGTAATAATTAGTTTAGGAGGATGGTTCATTGTTGTAAGAAATTTGGATATGCGAAAATCTACTAGAAAACTGGCATCTTTTCTGTAGAAGTAATGCGCGATTTTTTTAAATGAGAATGAATGAAATGCAAATGAGTATGCATAAAATGAAAATTCATGAGTTTGCGAAAAATAAAAAGTTTACGATTGTCCTAAAAAAATTGCTAGATGCCTTTTTGTGTGGCATATTTAGTAAAAAATAAAAATATAGTTTTCTCACTAGTTGCAACTTTTGCAAACGTTGCAAAGTTGCGAAGATTTTTTGGGAAGCGACGCGATTACGGTTTTTACGACGTTGACGTGAATATCCCCATTATTTTATTGGGCTAATTCTTCCCAATTTTTCATGCAATTTCTAATCTCGGAGATGGAAATTTTAAAATTAATTGTTCACCTGAAATCATCATGTCTCGGCATTCTTCCCGACGAATAATCCGTGACGTCGGGGAGGTGATGTTGCATGGGTAAATTTGCATAGTGTGGCTGATATGGAGATTGATGTTGATGTCTCGAGAGCGAGTGCATGGAGCCGGGTCCGGTGCCATAGCCGATGCCGAGCGCGTGTTGTTGCGCCTGTTGCAAGGGGGTGAGGCCCTGCCTGCCCCCCAGGGCCGGTTGAGCACCAAAGATCCGCTGCCCCTGAGTCTGATACTGTTGCTGCTGCTGCTGCTGGTGCATGAGGGGCGCCCTCCCCCGCCCAATACCAGGATACCCGCCTGGATGCGAGAGCGTGTGGTGGACCTGGGCCGGCGTCGTGCGCCCGTAAGGACCCGGACCCAGCTGGCCGAGGAGGTGACCGTTCTCGTCATTCTCGTCGTACGGCTCTTCGTCCAACTCTTTCTTCATGACCACGACGGGAGGAAGTTTGGACTCGGAGCGGAGCATGGAGTGCGAGGACATCATGCGACCTGGAAGTTGTTATTAGACTTGAATTATCTCGAGTAAATGAGCAGAGGTGGGAAAAATATTGTCAAAATGTGTACAGTGTTTTGAGATCAGTTTTTCCCAGGGTAGTTCACCACAAAAAGACAAAAAATCTACGCAAAGAAGGCAATTTGTCTTTGTGTTCCAGCCTTGGGAATCCAAACCCTGGGAAAAGAGGTCAAAATACTCTATTCTGACAAAGTATTTTGCACACCCCTGTATTTAAATTAGCTCGATTTCTTTTTAAAATTGAGCTCTGTTATTCATAAAATTGAAATAGAATAATAGTGAAAGAGCGCAGTTTTTCATGAATGATAAAGTGACTGATAGAGCTGACAAATTCTATAAAATTGGTTCAATTGGAAGTTGCATATTTACCTTTCCTCTGCCGGATCGTGAGCACCAATCGTCTCGGAATGGACATGAGAATGACCACGTCGTCCAACGACCTAAGGAGAATTTTATGGATTAGTTGAACTAAATATGTAATCCAATGTAATGTGGTGAAATAATGGAATTTTTGGTCAACTGACATGTGAGTAACGTCGACGAGATTGACGGCGAGGATTTCGTCGCCCACGCCGAGACAGCCGCTGTTGAAGACGGCGCTCTCGATCGCGATCCGGGAGACGAACACCCCATCGTAGCGGTCAACCCCGTTCCCTTCCCGGATGTAAAGGCCGAGCGTTTGGCCGGGACGTTTCACTACGTTTTTTAAAAATTCTTATTAGTTTAAACCAAGTTTAATGAGCAGAGGGCGGCGGATATGTATTCATATTTCCAATTTTTTCGTTTGATAAATTTGAAAAACTTTGGGCATATTTTTTATGGATCATAAAAATTTCAAAATATTTTCGTATATTGTAAAATACATATTACTAGGTTTTCAGACATATAAATAGATTCTTAAATATTTCCACTATATTATAAGCTGAAAATGTTTGTCTGCAACGGAAGTGAAAGTAATTTTCCGAAACGGAAGTGAAAGTGGAGAAAGTTAATCTTAATTTAATTATTTCTGGTGCGGACTGGTATTCAAGGTGTGGAACTTATCGCCCGGTGGAAGACGGGCTTATGCTCTAGTTATTTTTTTATAAATCAGTACATGTTTTACTCCTTTTGTTGACATACATTTAAATATTTAAATGATATGACACGAATTTTATTTACTCAAAGAAATTGGACCACAAAAAATGTAGAGTATTAAATTTAAAACTACGAATTTTATGAAAATTGTAATTTTTGTGGGGTTTTGTAATTTTGTTGTAAATACATGTATGTATTTTGGGAGGAGGGCTCCTCTTGTTGGAGGAGCCCAATGCTCAGATCATCCATCAGATCTATTGCATATCCTCTTACTTACACCGTATGACAGTGGCTATCTAGTTGCTCAGGTATAATCCCCATATCTATTGATGAGATATGGGGATCGAGAAACCATTTAAGGATAGTAAGACAGGAAGAGACGCCGGCTTGCCGTAAGCACCACCACTCACCCCTGCACTTACGGGGCCAGTCCCACTCCGCCTATCCTCTACCCACCACTGCCTATTCAATCTTAATGTATGCCCCTTTGGACGCGAATACTGCCACGGAAAGGCAGCATGCTCAGTCCACTCTACTGAGTGTCCAGCTACAATGTGTGTAACTGGCACCCAGGGAGGGCTGCCCCAGCTGCCGAGATATGAGGGATCGAACCATAGACCTTCCGAGTGCCGAAAGCAACCGGTTCTCGCCCCCAAGCCAAACAGCCAGGGCCCTGTAAATACATATCCGCCCTCTGTTAATGACACTGTACAAGGCTTATCATTAGTTACCTATCTCCACGAACTGGACGCTGTGAAGTCCATCCTACAGAAAAAAAGAGCAAACATATAAGATTTAAACTTTGTGACTTTCTCCTTCTCGGTGAAAGTGATGTTTCAGGACCACCCTTTTTTGGAAGATGTGGTGCAGGAGCGGATATTAAATTTTTAAAGAGGTGCATCCACCAGAAGTCAAGCTGAGTAAGGAGGAAAAAAGCAGCTCACTTGCACTCCGTCCAGTCCACCCACCCACACTTATTAAATTCCGACACGTTCTTGGGCTCAAGTTTTTTACGGTTTCGGAGTGCAAGAAGTGAGGCGAAGAATAATATGTCTCGGAGGCATCAAAAGAAAGCAATAATTCGGGGAATGACGAAAGCTGGGTAAAAGTGACCAGGGCGAAATGTGTTTTTTCATAAAAATGCGAGGGTTGTGCCAATAATAAAATCTGCATGATTCTCTCTTTTTTACATGGTTTCTTGATCGAATGGGGGAGACAGGAAATTAAGTGGGGTGACGTCATCGTGTGTATAGCTACACTCTTAGAAATACGGTGTTAAAGTAATACCAAACGGTATCATGGACCACGCTGCACTGCTAAAAATATTGTCGCGTCTAAATATGTTGATATTTATTTGGTAATAATTTATTTCTGACTGCCAAGTGTTTTTTTGCCAAAACACTACTAAGCGGTAATGCCCGTTGTTACCGTGCCATATGTACCCCGGTCAGTAATGATTTAATACCAGTTTTCTAAGAATGTAGCAAATTTGTAGTTATAAGTAATAGCGTGGGTATGGTATCAGCTCGGTATTAAAGGTTTACCACATCAGTAGCAAAGTTATACGGACTTGAATAATTTGAATACCAAGCGGTAGCAAATTAAATACCAGTGTTCTAAGAGTGTGCATGCAAATAAAATGCGAATTCGAAGGGACTGGAAATTTAAATAGGTTCGCTGGTGACGATACATGGAAAATTCGAACCGGAAATTAAATACGCCTCGTTTATGGAATCAATAATGAAATAACTGTTTTTTGTATGTATGCAAATGTTACCCGGTGTAAAAAATTCGGGTCAAGATCTTTCCCTCTTTCACTCTGGTGAACTTTAGCTTTTAACGTGTCGCGGAATATCGATACGTCAATCAACCTCGCGCTTGGCGACATTATTTGCTCGCTCAGAGGAAGTTTGAAACTTTGATGGGTTTCTTGTCCCTTTGATTTCGCATTTCGTGGGGGGAAATGAGGGGCTGAAACTAATTGAAAATTCCGGGCTGAAACTAATTGAAAATTCCGGGCAGAATTTGTTGTTTGTTGTGGTTGCTTAAGACGGGCGAGTTGATTTTGGTTGAGTGAAGTGTAAATTAATAAAGGAGCGTGGAGAAAGTGGGAAAGAGAGAAAGAAGAAGGTGGTGATGATTGATTGATGACAACGTTACGGGAAAAGTGGGAGTGAGATGACGGATTTTGATTCATTATTTTATTAAGAAACATTCCCCAGAATGGAGAGTGACTACACTGTTAAAAATGTGGTAGAGTCCGTACTCGTATTGATCTGGTAATAAGGTGCTACTGGATTGGTAATACATAGTTTAAGATTAGAGCATGGTTCCAGATTTTTGGCCAAAATTTCGTTAATCGATGAAAAGTTAGTATGAAATTTGCGAAAGACACGATCTCCGAATGGACAGAGATATTTGCATCCGATGAGGAGAAAACGCGAATAAATTTGGAAAGTGTAACATTTGTCAACATTGCTTCGTGTTTTCTCCTCTTCAGATGCAACTATCTTGGCCAAATGTACCCATCAGGAGATGGTATCTTTTGCAAATTTGATTTTAACATTTGTGATCGCTTGGTACTATTTAATTTGCTCAAAATCTGAGAACATACGCTGGGAGAGAGCTCCATTGTGAGGGGTAAACTTTTCGTTACCACATTACTACACTGTGATACCCGTTATTACCGTGCGGGTAAAGTGATATCTGCATGTATCGGTAACGAGTTTTCTAAGAGTGTAAGGTATGGAGCGTGTGAGGAAGGAATGTGCTTTCTTGACCCACCTGCATGGAAAGAAACTTGCGAACGGCGTCCTGCACGGGGCGAGAAAATTGTCGCGGGTCCAGCAACCGTACCAGCATTTCACCCCGTCGCTCAACCGCCCCCAGTGCGGCTGCAAAGGAAAAAATATATAAAATAAACTAATCATAATTTTTTGGAAATTGAAATTTTGAAGGAAATTTTATTTTCTTTACCGGCAGTCGTCGCATCGTGATCATTCTCAACTGATTCCAACTGTCGAAATATTTCCGTCGATATTCCACTGACCTGAAAGAGAGGAAAAATACAATAAAATATTAGCAAAGAGAAATCTCATCCATTTTTTTTTCGTAGCGTGTTTTTATGTCACAATTTTTTGGACAAGAATTTGAAAATTACACGTTTTATTTGTCGGAAATGAGTCGCAATTTTTTATTTGGGAGAGAAAAAAAGGAATTCTGAAATTATACGAGGGGACGTTTTACGTGCATATTTGTCGGAAATGAGTGTACCGTATCTAGATATTTGTTTGTTATTTGGTTAGTTTGAGAATGTAGTGGGGGAGGAAATAATGGGAGAGAGAAGGAGAAAGAGAGAGCGGCTTTGCCTTCTCTATTCACAAGTATCGATTTACCATTCCGATACTTACACGCTTACGGTGCATAAAGTTACATCAGAGCAGAAAACGCGTCTCTCTCTCAAAATGTTGGTTCTCTTCCCTAAGGCCCCGTGTTCCCAGAGAGTGAAAGGATGCAGGGAAGAAGAGGGGGGAGAGAAAGCTGCACCTTGTTACGAACAATGCGTTAGAGAAAACTGCTCCTAGTCAGACTTGGGATCAGGAAGTACACATGTACAATATATTTAGTTGAGGGTGTGAAGCATACATTTTGTCAGTGTTTCGAGTGAAAGTATGTAACCAGGTGCAAGAAATAGGGGGGAGAAAGTAGTCTTTTAGAGATATTTTGGCCTGCAAGAAATGCACGGGGCAAGAAACTTATTCCTTAATACGGCACGTGGCACATATTTCTCGCAGTTTCTTGCACTTTGCATTTCTTGTTTTACAGTGCAGGAAATGTGGCAAACCAGGAAAAAACAAAATATTGCATGTTTGACATTTTAGACATGAAATTAAATACTTTTCCCTTAATTTCTTGATATTTCGGCCCTACAAATAAATGCAGGCATTTCCGGTATGGTTAGGAGTTTAAATTTTGTCTTGCCAATTAGACACGAGCAAGAGAAAAAATTATACTTTACAATAATTTAAGATAGAAAAATATGCCGTGCCAGAAAATGCATGTCTGACCTCCTCCAACTTTCTCCAGGACGAGAAGTCATCCGCTTAGCGAAGAAGTGCAGTCAGTTTAGGTGGCAGGGTTATACATACGCGAGGATGGAGAAGGAGAGAGGCAGGGCAATAATTGAGCCATTATAAGGACTGCTACATACAAGAACACACATGCCAACCACTTTCTTTCCAGTGTTTCGGGTGCAAGTAACCACCTGCAAGAAATAACCGCAAGAAATTGGTTTCTTGTATCTATTTTTACCCGCAAGAAATGCAAAGTGCAAGAAACTACCTCCCACCGTCATAGTTCAGTAGGCCCTGTGTTTCTTGCACTTTCTTGCATTTCTTGCTTTGCAGTGCAAAAAATGAGAAAAACCCGCAAGAAACGAAACACTGCTTCTTTCTTTTCTACCTCGTACGCACACAGGGTCGACACGAGTAGTACATTTGAGCGAACACTGCTCATTGTCTTTGGAGGACTTGTGCAAGTATTTGTTTGGGAGGAGAGAGAGAAAGCACAACGAAATAGCTCCAATCAAACGTCAACCTCACCCAATTCTAATCCAGCAGCCAGTCAAAGAGAGGCCAAATCTTTTTATCGTGTCAAATGCAGACGACGACTTTCACTCCGTGGGAAAGTTGGGCCAGGAATGATAAGCTTTTTCCTCCATACGAACAATGCTACGTGTCATCTGTGGGATTAGCTTTGATAAAGCGGGGGAGGAAAGGTTCCGAGGTACATAAATGCGGGATATGAAATGGTAGGAATTTTTGTTATAAGATGTACAAATATTGCAGTATTTTGATAAAATAAATATTTGGGTTTAAAGAGGGACAAATTTTCATATTTTTTATGTGGAATATGAAACGAAATGATGGGAAGATCATGTTTTTGTGGAAAATATTTATAAAAAATGGAGTATTTTTATAAACTACATTGGGTCTGATTAAAGAAAAACATGTTTCTATATTTTTTGTAATTCTGAACTTATGAATGAGAACAATACGAAACGAGGCGAAGATTATTATTTTTTGTATAGGAAAAAAATTGCTCAATTTTTGCAAATTATTTTAAAGAAACAATTAGTTTTTGTGATTCTAGATTTGTTAAGGAGAGATATGTATGAAACCAATTTTTTGTATAAAATATTTTTAACTTTGATGATTTTGATAAACTGGATTTAAAGAAACATGAATTTGTATATTATTTTTGTGATTCTATACTTTTGAATGAGGAATACGTTTTAAAATATTTCTTTCTTAATTTAATATGCAATTCGTTTATCGTGCGTAATGAAACTGGTGGAAGTTGAATAGGATTGGAATTTGAAAATGAAGTTTACAAATAATTCGACTCCTCCATTTCCGTTCTGCATGCTCGGCTGGATTTGTGCAGGAAAGAGAGAGGACTGGGAGAACTGCATGAGCATTATTTCTACTTTATCATGGAAATAAATAGGAAAGCAGGAGGAGAATCCGAGAATAGAATGATGAACGTTGGAGAGAAAGTGGGAACGGGAGGCCAAATTTAATATGAAATCCAATATTGTCCATACACGCAGATCGCATCATGTGCATGTCGACTTTATTGTGTTTGTATATATGAATACGATAAAATTGTCTCTTATCCTTCATTCGCATTACGTACATTTCCACAAATCGTGCCTTATTGCACATAAATAAAGTATTCTGTTTGTGTCAACAGCAATGTTTCATTTCTTGCGGGTGACGGGTTGGGTAGTTTTTTTGCAGCGTAAAGAAAGAAACGCGAGAAATGGGGGGGGGGGGGTGCAAGAAATTGCAAGAAATAGGCGCCATGTAGCGCCGCGCTGTATGAAGAATAGCGGCGGAAAGAGTTTCTGGCGCCTTGTATTTTTTGCAGCTGATATTTCTGCGACGTGAATATAGTAGCAATTTTTGCAGGTGAAAAAGGCTAACATTGTTTTGCAAGTGAAAATAGCTATCATTTCTTGCACTACAGAGAAAGCAAGGCAAGAAATGCGAGTTGCACGAAACAGGGAGAAACTGCAATATAAGAATGTGCGTTATTTAGCCATGCTCCGTATAAAGAATAACGGCGCGAAGGAGTTTTTTGCGCCGTGCATTTCTTGCAGGTCAAAAAAATTATATCTATGAAATAACTTTCTCCCCATTATTTCTTGCACTCAAAATAAGGTAGTAATGAATCATTACCATGCGGAATGACTATGTGGCTCTACCACGTCGGTTACGATTTGTCGTAGAAATGGTAATAATAAGTTCAGGGAAATTCAAATTTAATACATAATGGTATTCACTTCCTTAATATTTGGTAATGAATTTGAATTTCCCTGAAGTTATTATTACCATTTCTACAACAAATCGTAACCGATGTGGTAGAGACACATAGTCATTCCGCATGGTAAGGATTCATTACTACCTTATTTTGAGTGTGCAAGTGGTTACTTTCACCCGAAACACAGGTCAAAACGTGGCGAAAGTTGAGCAAGTCATTTTGTGTCAAAGAAGTTAACTTTAGTTAATCTCTTGTTCGTCCCGTTGGCCATTTGAAGTAATGATTTTGATGTGATTAGACGGAATTTATTTGGGGACGCATATGCCACGAGAGGAAGAAGGAGGACAAAGCCATCGATCAATTTGCAATTTGGGTGATTTCTGGGTGCACTTTTTTGCTGCATGCTGACTTGTGCTGCTCCAGTCAGAAAGGTTTAATCAATTTAAAAGCAGGAGGATTGAGTCGATGGATGGATGGATGGAAGAGAAAGTCGTATTAATCCAATCCCAATCTGTTTGTGTCTTTATTCAGCTGGGCAACCTCCTTTACAGAGCGGGGCAAAATACGGGGTGAAAGTGCACAGTTTCTGAGCTTAATTCTTCCAGGGTTTGGATTTAAGAACCGCAAAAAGACGAGAATCATGTGAAGGAGGTAACAGACGTGGGAAAATACAGGTTTTGTGAAAAAATGAAGTATTCATTGCTGTCAAAAATACAGTGTTTTCACGTTTTTTTAAAGCAGGACTTTTGACATGGATAAAAATTTTCTTCCTCGCAAAAAATTATTTTCGACTGACTGTTGTATTCTCGATGAAGATTTTCGTCTTCTAGTGGGTGGAACCACCCTGGGAATAGCGGATCTCAAAAATACTTGACAAAATATAACAGTTACACGAAAATATTTATGTTTTGTCAAGAAATTAACTTTCTATCGCCGTAAAAGTACATTGTTGTGACGATTTTTTTCAAATAAGTACAGGGTGGTTTAAATGTCAGGTTACAATGGGAAATTTTTCAGTGGAAAAATTCGCAAATCTCCATTAGTTACCGAAATTTTGCCTCTGAAATTCAATATTTTAAGAAGTTTGTCATCAGTGTTCCATAAGTTTTGATAAAAATTAATCAAAATCTCAATCCCGAATCCGTAACGAAATTTACGAATTTTTCCCATTGAAAAACTTTCCATTGTAACCTGACATTTAAACCACCCTGTACTTGACTGGGATAAAACGTTAAATTCTTCACAAAACCTTTAAATATTTTCACACGACTGCTAAATTCATAATGTAAATTTTGGTATTTTTGTGGCCCTGGAAATCCAAACCCTGGAAACTGTGGGCTCAAGATGCTCAATTTCTAGTCCGTATTTTGCCCAGCCCTGGAGTCATTTCTTCACCAGGACGACGACGAGGAAAGGATAAGATACGTCGGGATCCATTAGTCCCCCAAATAAATCATCCTGGATCAACTGTTCTCATTCCAATTATTGGATCGAGATGTGCATGAAACACAGACCAAGCCACGCTGTAACGTCGCCTTATTGTGCAAGGAAACCCGAGAGAAAGTCGAGTTTCTTTCGTCTTTGGGAAATTATTTACGGGGGGATTATGAAGTTTTCGGGGTGAGGGGAAAGTTTCTAGGCTCACTTTTCTAAAATCGGGTATGGGAGAAAGTCGAGTTTCGTCCTTGGGAAATTGTTTACGGGGGGATTAATGGGTCAATTTTATACCATCCAACGAAAATTGAGTTTATTCCAACCAAAATTAATAATTTGGCCAATAATGCAATGGGCAACGGGTTTAATTTTTGTGTCCAACGAAAATGTAAAAGCATCCGACCAAATTTTACATATCATATTAGTCTACTTTGCCTATCATATTATTGACAGCATACATCAATGGATAGATATGTGTATATGGATTTTCATCATTCACAATTGCAGTCACTAACTCTCATTCCTTCCCCATTCTCATTCCACTTTTGTCAATTAACATTAATTTTTAATTTTTGGGGATTAATTTTCGGGCTTACTTTTCTAAAATCAGGCTGAAGGACCATATGAGGGAGCTGCTGCTGTTGTTGTTGGACCCCACCGCGCCCTGGGGGGATGGTCGTGGCAAATTGGCCCAGTTGTAGTCTCCTCGGACTGGCAGCTGGTTGGTCTGCGTTCGGTGGAATGTCCCGACCTTGATCCTATCATAAAAAAAGAGAACGAAATTTAATATTCAGATTGGGAATTGAAATTTCGGGTTTAATTCCAAAATTGAAATTGAATCTTTTGAAATTTAATATTGATTGAAGTTTCATAGATTGTGATTTCATTGAGATTGGGGGACGGGAATACTTATTTGAAGATATGTATAACTTGGGAGATTATGGGTGACAGAATTTTAAGGTATGCAACTCATGACGGGTAGTTTTTACCCGAGTATAAAATGTGAATGGGTTTCGTGCAGAGATTTGGACTGATTTTTCGCAGAAAACCTTATGAAGAGGGATTTACTTAGAAAATTATGCAGTACTATGCAAAATTATGCAAGCACGGTTCTGCAGAATAAGACCGATAGAAATTTTGGGCTGGATTATGTGCAAAAAGTTGTGCAGAACACAATGTGCATCGAGCTTTCGTCGAGCACTGCAGAATTCGACAGTGATTTATGCAAATACCCGTGTTGAATTTACACAAGACCGAAGTTGGCTAATTTGTTTTGCGGTATTGAATTATGAATTCTGATAAGTATTTATGTAAATATGTATGGCAGAATTTGCCGGAAAAAAATGTACGACTACGGAAATTTAGAAAGTTGATAAATACGTGGCCCATACTTTTTTGGCATTTCGACTAATGCTCCTAAACCTGGAGAAGAAGCAGTTGCCCGCAGAGCCGCACTGTGATTTTCGTAAATCGTACGTCTCACACATTCAACCGGAAACAAGGTGAGCACGGATTCGGCCAAATAAATATTTCCTTCTGCTCTTTCCCACACCGGCCACCGCACCATTCACTCAATCGCACCGCACCGCACCACACCCACCACTTAACACGGTTAACCTTTCTCCAAGGTCACCAAGGTCTCGCCGGTCCGCATCCCCTCCTTCTTCCCGCCGCCATCATTCCACTTTCTCCAATTCGACAAGAAATATTTTTAGGCAGGGAAATCGGGGCACTTTTGTCGGCGTTTTGTACCAATATCTGCAAAATGTGTGCGTCCTTTACCGTTGGATTTATCCAATAATTATCATTTTACTTAGAGATGGGGCACTTTTGTATCAATATTTCCTAAAAGTTTGTTTCATCTGTAGCTGAACTTCTTATCGAATCTTATCTTCTTATCCAAAAACCGGGTATTATCTTCGAATAACGGGTATTATCCAAGTGACCAGTCCCACGTGTCTCACCCGCCTGCATTCGACTTTCTCTTGATGAGTAATTCGTCCAGAAATATTTGGGAAGAGATATATGCATGAAATCTGAGATTTATTTTGACGTCAATATTTCCTAAAAGTGTGTCGTTTTACTTCGTTTATCTAATAATCCGACTGATTAGTGAACTAGTCCCACGTGTCCCGTGACTTTGTGACATGGAATGCGTCTTCGGGGGGAGTCCACTCTTGGAGAAAATTGTGCGGTGGACTTTCTCCCGTGTTTGAGGAGGAGAATAATTAATCAAATTAGTTGCTCCCTCGTCGGCTAGCGGTGTGATCAACAAGAAGAAAACGAGGAAAAATTGACGTTCGAGAAAGTCCCACGGGTCGGCGAAATCGATGAAGGAATGTAGTCCATCAGCAATTTTTTCTCTTCCTTTTCATGAATTTTTAATTGTGCATTTCCTCCATTTTCCCATCCACGCTGACTGAGTGGGTGGACAGGTTGACGATGACGATGGGTATTTTTCGGGAGAGTGCCAATTAAATAATTGTCGAGTTGCGAATTTATTCCGATAATCGGAGGAGTGAAAGTGGCGTCAGGAGGATTTGTCTGCCATCATTTTTTATGGTGGTTTTCGGATAATTCACGACACGACACTTTGTTCTCGTCTTGACGTTTCTTCCGGGTTGGTGTGTCATAAATTTTTAAATAATGGGCGACGACAAGAGATGATGAAAATGGGAAGTAGAGCAATTGTTGCGTTATTATTGCGTTTGTGCGTGGAATTGGATTGAATTCACGTTAAGGAAACAATTGGTGAAGAGATAACGGAAAAAACGGGAAGAAATGTGGCGTTTCTTGGGCGGGCTAATTTTTCCGTGTCCTTTTTTATGTACAAATTTGTGCAGGGTCGACCCGTTGTAGATAATGATTGTCACTTTCACTTTAGCAGATTTTATGGCGGATTTACTTTTACAATTAGTTTATTAATGGTTTGAAATGAAGAAATATGAATTATAATTTGGGCGAGTTTCTGTATAAGTGTTTCGTTGCGGGAAACTGGTGCTACTAACTTTCCCCTCCGTGTTTCTAACTCGACTGGGTGGCTTTCTCTGAGGAATCCGACATCCAAACACGGCGTGGTGGTGGTGGGAAGAGCATAGAGCAGCCACTACTACTACGACTTTTTCGAGCAGCAGACGAGACGAGAGAGAGCAGGGAAAGCATTCATGCTCAATGTGTGTAGAATTATTTTGGGAATTCGGTATTAGTAAAAGAAATTTGGGGGTGCGAAATGTGCAAAGTTTTCCCAATATTAGATAACCATACATCGATATTAATGATAAGATAGACAGTTTTGGGTATATCTCGTACTCGAAATTTCATAAAAAAAGATTTTTTGGATCCAATTTTATAAGGATTTTGTTAATTTCTTTACTGAAAACTTTGTCAGACGAGTTTTGAATCGTATTTTACAAAGATTTTAGATTTTTGTGGACATGCTGTATAATTTGGTGGCATGTAAGAAAAGTGTGTACCTAACCTAACCGGTCGAAGGTTTGGCTGAAGCGGGTATTCATGGGAGAGACGGGACTATAATAATACCCGGTGCTGGATATACGTAGGTTTGTGTAGCTTCAGCTGTGTTTGTTATAGGGTGGGTCGTGGCGGTGGCGGTGGTGGTGGTGGTGTCGTCCTGAGAGAAAGTTTTGGATCGAAGTTTGCCAACGTAAGTAAGCAGGCTTTGTAGGACTGCACTTGGTTTCGGTGTGTCTGGCTGCACTGGGACGAGAGACTCTCTTTCTTTCTTCTCGATTATATTCTATGGACGACGGAGTTGCCCGGCTCTTTCGGAGGCAGAGCCAGAAACCGGGCATTTCACTCCTCGAATCTTCACTGAAGCTATGTTACACGGGTTTGGAGTCTGTCTTGGAGGAGGGTATGCACCACTAAGGAGATGGTTGGGTGTGATGTAATAGTGGTATTTTGAAAAAGAGAAGGTGAATCGTCGGTTTAAGGGGGAGGATTTATTGTGGATTTTTGAAGGTGCTCGGCACGTGGGAAAGGTGTTTAAATGTAAATATGTAAAATGGCGTTAATTTAATGAGCTTTGAGATAAATGCGCCTTTTCATAGGGTAATGTGTAATTAGTTGTTGGTAGTAGAGAAGATGAATGCGAAAAAATTGGACGTTCATTTGACATTAGAAAAATAATTTGTTTAAAAAATGAGTTTTTTAAATCGATATTTTTGTAGTATAACAAATTAGCTTCCGATAAATATGTACATTATCGTGAAAATTTGCATGTATCTAAAAAAAACTTGTGAAATTGATTTACAAATTTGCTGAGACTAAAAACCCATGGCGGAGTTATTCCACCTTAACAGAAGGAATTTTAGGTGAAATACATAATTCTGTAGATTAGAGAAAGCGGCGACGTAAAGTAGTGAGAAGGAAGAAATTGGGGTTATTTCTTCCCAATTTATGACATGACTTTCCCCTTGAACGTACCTACACAAGTACTTCTGGGCAGGAAAAAAGCCCATTTATCAGGGCAGAATTAGCTCCGAATTTTGTATCATAGGAGCTAACAACACACTCTTAGAAAACATTGGTGTTAAATCATTACTGACCGGAGTATGTACACTCAAAATAAGGTAGTAATGAATCATTACCATGCGGAATGACTATGTGTCTCTACCACGTCGGTTACGATTTGTTGTAGAAATGGTAATAATAAGTTCAGGGAAATTCAAATTCATTACCAAATGTTAAGGAAGTGAATACCATTATGTATTAAATTTGAATTTCCCTGAACTTATTATTACCATTTCTACGGCAAATCGTAACCGACGTGGTAGAGACATAGTCATTCCGCATGGTAATGATTCATTACTACCTTATTTTGAGTGTATGTATCTGACTATACCAGATTTTTAACAGTGTATTTGCATATCTGTGAGAAGAAGAGAATATTATGTGGTCTCGAAAGTGGATGTATGTAGGAGTGCATATATAGCTTACGTAAAACTCGTCAGGTTACGTTTTAAGGAAAGTTGGACAAAGTGGTGAAAGGGGGAAAGTGAATCGATTTTTAATTCCTTTCTCCTTCCCTGCCTCGGCGAGGAATGGAAGGAAAAAACGGGATTTTCACCTTGAGATCCATCCACGTTAAGAAATAGAAAGAGATATCTTATTCCATCTCATTTCCAGGTGGGACATGGACGCCCAACTCCCATTTAAGTTCTAGGATAAGGCAGCAGTTTCATTCTCGGTGGTATAAAAAAAATGTGTAAAATTGAGACTGATTTTCCATTTTTTTAGTCCGAGTCAGGGCTTATCTATCCAGTATGATTGTCTGTCTATGCATCGATTAAGATCGTAAAACTTATCGAATTGATATGAAATTTTACCCCCGTTTACGCAGAAAATTCAAAATTAGGAACTAAAAATTGGAAAATTTGTAAAAAATGGAGTTGTCGTGGTCGTATAAATACCCACCTCGATTATGTACTCAAAATAAAAATTTGTCAAATCAACACCGCTGGTGTCAATATATGACTTAACCGCCTTGGTTACAATGTTGAAACCGAGTTTTGATGATTTTGATACCGGTAGTTATAATGTTATGACCAGACGGAAAAAATTCATTACTACTCGGAATCACAATTGTAACCAAGGCGGTTAAGTCATATATTGACACCGTTTTGTTTTGAGTTTGCCATGGCAAACAAACTGACTCGGGCGGTATACGGAGATATGCACCCGCTCATTTGCACCCGCTCAATTGCACCCGCTCAATCGCACCCGCTCATTCGCACCC